TTATGTGTGGAATCTAAAGAACAGAATAAGTGAACAAACAAAACAGAAATAGACTCATAGGTACAGAGAACAAACTGATGGTTGCTAGATGGGAGGGGGTTGGGACGATGGGTGAGAAAGGTGAAGGGACCAGGAAGTACAAATTGATAGTTACAAAATTGTCGCAGGGATGTGAAATACAGTATGGGGGATATAGTCAATAATATTGTAATAACTATGTATAGTGTCAGATGGGTACTAGACTTACAGGAAGATAACTTCATAAATTATATAAATGCCTAACCACTAAACTGTACACCTGAAACTAATATAAAATAATATTGAATGTCAACTGTAATTTTAAAAAATATATAGTCATGAGATGTAAAGTACAGCATTGGGAATGTAGTCAGTGGTATTGTAATAGCTATGTACTGTGTCAGATGGGTAGTAGACTTGTTGGGGTTATCACTTTGTGAGGTGTGTAAATGTCTAATCGCTGTGTTGTTTTGTACACCTGAAACTAATTTGAAAAGCTAAAAAAATTTTTTTGTTAAAAGCAGGTGCGTGAGTTGATCATAACCTATATTGCAGTGGCTTTGGGTGGACCAATTGGAAGGTGAAAATATGGTCGGGTGGATAATATGGTGAATAGTTTGTTAGGTGGGCAAATTCGTGGCGGATTAACCTTTACCGGTCTTGCCAAGAGGACCTCCTAACAAAGCTTCCCAGGACCGCCCTGATGGTGTAGTTCTCCTAGTGGCCGGAAGAGGGCGCTGCGGATCGCTTCGGTCTGCAACTGTCAGAAACAGACCCGGAGTCGTGGAAGGCGAGAGGGAAGCTGGCTTTGGTCACGTCCCAGAAAACCCAGAGCCGCGAGATCTCCCAGAGAGCGCCTGCGGTTGGTGCTGCGGTTACCTGAAACTTTGCCCCCGCCAAGTGTTAGGGGCTGGGGGAAGGCGGGAGGTTGGAGAGGAGAAAGGAACGCAGGAAGAAACCTCAGCGCTGCTGGCGACTCCGCGGGAAACGCGGACACTCAAGTCCATGGGCGCACACATCTGGGTCTGTGGTTTGATGGGAGATGGACGGTAGAAAGAGCTGCAGGTTTCAGCCATCTAAAGCTGAATGCGGTTGCACAGGTCCTGGGATGAAACAGCCTTGCCGCCACAAGGATCCTTCCCAAATCTGTCATTTCGATCTCAGCAGTGGCTGCAAACTTTCCTTTTAGCTGCACGCGCCCCACAGCACCTCTGTGGGTGTCCCGCTCCTTAGAATGGGGGCTTCCCATCTATCCAGAGTATGGTGGAATCACCGCAATCCACTCTCTCACACGCTTGGAGGCTCCTAATTTAAACAGTAAAGAAGAGCTGGGAGGAAATCGAAGCCGATTCGCAGTGTAGCTAGGGCTCACCTCGTGCACCTGTCTCCTGCGGTGCCCGCTTTGTCCTCTCTGGGTCTCGGAGCAGCTGCAGGCCGGCTTCCCCCACCTCCCACCCCTGTCTTAGTTTCTCCGCATTTGAAAGGGTGCTGCTAAGCACCGAGTTCCCTCTTTGCTTTGTAACCCAGCCCCCAAATTCGCTCCTACCCCAGACCCCTCCCCGCTAGGGGGCGCCCCTGGAGTTAACGGAGGGGTAGGGACTCTGACTATACCTTGGGACAAGTTGAATCTAGGCTCGAAGTGTGTGACATGAAAACAGGCCGGTTTCGAGACCACAGGTGTCAACCTCTTCGAGGGCTTGACCTGACAGAGGACAAGATTCTTCAACCCTAAAGGCCCGAGGGCTGGACTCTCCTGCTGGAGTACTCTGGCCTTCAATGTACGACCTCGCCTCCCTTTCCGACCCCGGAGCGCGCTAGTGCGGAAGACCGCGGCACAGGAGCCTCCCTCGGACGTCCTCGCATTCCCCGGTCCTCCGGGCCTACCCAGAGACAACGGCTTGAGGAGAGCATTCCCAAAAGGAAGGTCACCCTCAAAGACCCTAGACAGTAGATTCGAGACTGGGAACAGTACAAGGAGCACGCTTTAGCGCAGATCTCCGAATAGCTCTTCCTCGCCTCGGGAAAGCCGCCCTACTGCTGCACACCCCCGGCTTCACGCAGATCCTTGAGAGCTCGATTCTGGTGCCTGGGAAAAGGGCCACCGGGGTTCTGTGAGATCCTGGGAAGGAAGACGCCCTCCAGAGGGGGTTCCAGATCCTCTTTCGGTTCCTTGGATCTCGGAATTGGAGAGCAGCGACCCCAGAGCAGGGCTGCGTTCCTGCTTTCCGCTCCCTGGGCGGGCTTGCCTCGACGCCGCCTGGGAGCCCAGCTCAGCTTGGCTCAGGAGTCTGCAATTGGCTGAGGAAGACTCGCCCGCCGCGGGCCTGGGCGCGGGGGGGCGGACGAGGGACCCCCCTAGAGCTTCATGCAGAGAGTACAAAACCAAAGTTGCAGAACCAGAATGAATAACCCTTTCCGTTTGCTAGTGATTTTTATGATTTACAAACTCACGCACGTGATCTCATCATCAAATACTTGGGTCTTTAGCACAACCTAGGAGGTACACTGGGCAGGTTGTGATCATATTTTGCAGCTCAGTAAACAGGTGCTAAGAGGCTTTATTTCCTTGATTCAACATTTCTTGAGACACTGGAGGATTAGAGGATAAAACAGGGTCTTGCCCTCGAGAAGGGGCAGAAAACGACATCCCCGTTCACTCTGGCTGTGATGGGAGTGGCTCCAGGGTGTGCTGGGGGTCCACAAGAGCTATACCACATAGTTGAAAAATGGCAAAGCTGGCTGGAACTCCAGGACTTCTGACTTCTACTCAAGTTCTCTGCCCACCACCCGTGAGCGCTTGAAAGATCCGGAAATGGTGCAGAAACCCATACACAAACCTTCATCACATCCCTCTCTGCCTCGGTTGGATCCCGGAGTAACATTTGTCAGCAAATACCTACACGTGATTTGGGTGATTTACTGTGAATTTGTAAGCTGCTTGTGAGTAGGAGCCGCATCTGGTTTGTTTAAGGCTGAATTTTTCAGGCCTAGCACAGATCCTGGTACAAAGCGACCGGCGCTCAGTAATTATTTGTTGAATGAATCACGAATTGCGATAAAACTCAGAACAAAATGACACCACCAGGAAACATGGTCGCTCACCTCCCTAGAGGAGGTGCCAAGGACCATGAAGGAAATTAAATAGAAAAATGGGGGCGGGGAAGGGATGGAAAACAGGCGTTCCCTATTCGTCCCCGACCCGATCTACAGACCTTGACTTAGCCTTCTGTATGATTCCTGTGTTCTAAGTTCTCAAGTAAGTGACCCAAGGAGGGAGAGAAGGGCGTTTCCTTTGGACCACGCGGGTGGTGGGCAAAGACGAATAGCAATTCCAGGCGTCCCTGCCTGGGCCTGGGCCTGGGCCTGCGCCTCCGGGGTTACTAGGTTCCGGGCCGATCCGCAGCCAGCAAAGCAGAGTGTGGCTGGGATTGAGGCGAGCGTGTGCGGCCGCTCCAAGGAAAGCTCCTTGAGAGGCCAGAGCTGGTACATGCGCTGCCACTGTCCCACCGCATTCGCCTCTCCTGGGAACGAGTTAGTTGAGGGATAAAAGAAGACGCGTGGGCCCTACCGGGTGAACACCGGGTTCCCAAGCATCTCCTGCAGCCATGGAAAAATGACTGGTTTAACCCGGTCCGCCCTATTAAAGATGAGCCCAGGGGGTGGCTGAAAGAAAGGACACTCCGGTCTGGCAGACGAGTTGGGGGCAGAGGAGAGACTCTCAAGGCCTTTGCTTGGACAAGCTCGGAGATACAGATATCCGCCTTTCCCACCACGAGACGCCTTAGCTTTCGGGCTTACTCTTGGCAATGCAGCGCATGTGGGAAAGAGTGCAGAGCCGTGTGTGTGTGTGTGTGTGTGTGTGTGTGTGTGTGTGTGTGTGTGTTGCGCGCATGCGCGCGCGCCAGTGTGTGTGAAGGGACCAGAGGTAGGAGAGATGCGGGGACCGGAGCCGCAAGGCGCCCCAAAGGCCCAGAAGTCTAGACAAGGGCCCCTCCCTCGAGCTCCGACTCCAGCTCAGCGCCGGGCCCCATCGCCTGCTGCGTGGCTCAGGGTCCGGGTCGGGTCTGCAAGCCTCGGGTGGGGGTGTAGGCGGGGAGCTGACAGCCACGTGCGCCCGGGCCTGCTGCGGAGCTGGAATTCCGCCGAGGGACGAAGACCGAGGAGGCACGCTCAGGGACTGTGGAAGATACACTCAACTCTTCTCTTCACTCAGATTCAGGGCCTTAAGGGGTCGAGGGAAGGGGATACTAATGAAAAACAATACAGAAATCTCCAGCGCTTGCACTGAACTTAAAATTTTCGAAAGCTTCCAAAAGCACTTTTATGGGCCCGTTGTTACTTGAATCTCACAGAAACTTTGTGAAGAATTACCTCCTTTTCTAAATGACATTGAGATTGGGAGAAACTTACAACGTCCTACACTTAGCGTTTCTTACACTTACAAATAACATGACATAATGGAGAGGGAGAGAGAAAAAGATGGGTAACTGGGAAACCCACCCCGCCTTGGCATTAAGACCTCACTCGAGACGCAGGCCTGGGGCCGGGTCCTGCCTGCAGACAAGATCTTTATTCCGTTTTGTCCGCTCTCCTCTACTGTTCACTGGAGCCCAGCGTCATCATCCCTTCTTGCTCCCTAGGCTTACACATGACATTGACCAAAGCACAGTTGATAGGGTCGTTCCTGAGAGCGCCCCCCAGAGAAATTCCTTGGAAGGAAAGGCAATGAGCTGGCTTGGTGTTTGTCTTCGCTGCACAACCGACAAGCGCCTCTCCGCGCCCAGACGCAGGGTTGCCGGCCCCAAAGCCGCCACCGGGGACCCGCGGAAACGTGGGCCCACGCTTGGGGGTGGAACCCTGAGCTTTCTCTCCACTAGTAAGGGACATAGGTGGTGAGGAAAGCGAATGTTAGTATAGAAGTTGGCTTTATTTTGAGGGGGTGCACAGCACTTCCCAAAGAAAGGATTGAAATAAAAAGCCAATAAACAAAACAACTTTCCTACTACAATCGCTATTAATGGAAAAGAAGCCTAACCTGATGAAATGAATAGTTCAAAGTGCCTGTTCATCGTTGGGAGTTCCTACTCTAGAAGGAGGGGAAAGAAAATGGGAAAACAAAAACCAAATTCGAGAAGTCTCCTTAACCGGCCCCCGCAGTGTCTTAGAGGCCCTTGCCTGGCCAGGGAGCGCTCCGCCCTCCCAGTCCCTAGCGCAGAGTGGAGATTAAAACAGGCACAGTAAAAACAACAACAAAAGGTTTAAAATCCAAGGGGAAAAGTCGGGGTGGGTCTCAGGATCTGCGCCGCGTAGGGCTCGCTCGGCTCCGTATTCCACTCCGCTGGAGGCCCGGGCCTGGCTGGAGCAGCAACGCAGATGCCTTGGCCCGGCTGGGGAGCGCAGCCCACAGCTCCCCCTCTTCAGGAGCCCAAGGACCCTCAAGGCGCGGGGCTCACACTTGAAGCCTGGGAACGCGCAAACAGGAAACCCACTTCCTCCTAAGCAGTTTCTTGCTCGCCGGATGAGAGGCGTCCAATTGAAGCAGAATGATCCTCATCTACTAATATCCAGCGTGGCCACAAAGCGACTGGCCATTTACGCCGCCACTTTAAACAAAGATATTTGGTTATTCCCGGGGAAGAAAGTGCACTTTTGCATGGCTGAGCTCCGGGCGGAGGCAAGCCTCAGCCCAGCCTCCCGCCCGCAGGGCTGCTCGCGCCTTGGGATTCGCCCCCTCCCGACTAGCTGGGCCCGTCAGGGTTCAGGCTAAGTTCCGCCCGGCAACAGGCAGGCGGACACTCACGACGCTCCCTGCCCGCACCCTTCCTGAAGCATCGGAAGGGAAATCAGCGTGGCCCTGGGTTCGGGTGCTGGGGCTGTGATGTCCTTGGAAAGTCAGCTCCAGTTCCAGAACCCCGAGCGTCGAGGCGATGGGCGAGGGTCGGGGACACCAGGTTTGTTCGAGGTGGGGCAATTTAAGTGATGGCCCCTCGTGTTAATTCTCCCTCCCTCCCCCCTGTCTCCCAGCTCCGACGGCCAGTGGTGTGCTTGCCTTGACCCGGGTGAGGGTGGGGAAAGAGAGCTGCGTGAGGGGTGAGGGGGGCGTCATGCGGAGGGGGGGGGGCGCTGGTCTGCTGAGTAGACCCTGAGCTGTGGGGAGGGGGACGCGGGGATCTGGGACAGCCTCTCCGCGGCGGCCGATCCCCTGCTCAGCGCCCCCTCCGCCCGCTGGGATTCTCTCTTGGGTAGGGGAAAAGGGGGCGGGGAGCAGAGGTGTCCCTCTGACGGCGGCAGAAGAGGCAGACAGACTGACAGACACGCAGCCAACAGTGCGGCCCCAGGGCTCGTCCCCAGACTCGCGAGTTCATTTGGTGGCGACTGGGCTCGGCGCCGGGAAGTCCGATGTGGTCCGGAGGCGGTGGGAAGGCGCGGGGCTGGGAGGCCGCGGCGGGAGGGAGGAGAAGCCCCAGCAGGCTCAGGTGAAACCCCCAGCGCTTCCCTTGGCCCCCTCCCCCTGAACACCTGTCTCTGCCCGGGGAACCCCGACAGAACTGAAAAGCGGTCCACTTTGTAACTCTGCAAGTTGGTTGCAAAGCAGCATTCACCTTCCTTCCTCACCATCATCACTCCTCCTCGGCTACTCTCCACCCCACCTCTTGCCCTCCCCTCTCTCGGTTCCCTCCTCCTTCCCCTCCCCCTCCTCCCCTTGCGCGCCGCCCGCACCCCACAAATATGGGGGTGGGGGTGTCGGGGGAGGGGGAAAGAAATGCTTTGGGTCGTCTCTCTCTCTCTCTCTCTCTCTCTCTCTCTCTCTCTCTCTCTCACCTAAAAATCCTGACAAGTGAAACTTAAAGGTGTTTACCTTGTCATCAGCATGTAAGCTAATTATCTCGGGCAAGATGTAGGCTTCTATTGTCTTGTTGCTTTAGCGCTTACGCCCCGCCTCTGGTGGCTGCCTAAAACCTGGCGCCGGGCTAAAACAAACGCGAGGCAGCCCCCGAGCCTCCACTCAAGCCAATTAAGGCGGACTCGGTCCACTCGGTTACGTGTACATCCAACAAGATCGGCGTTAAGGTAACACCAGAATATTTGGCAAAGGGAGAAAAAAAAAAGCAGCGAGGCTTCGCCTTCCCCCTCTCCCTTTTTTTTTCCTCCTCTTCCTTCCTCCTCCAGCCGCCGCCGAATCATGTCGATGAGTCCAAAGCACACGACTCCGTTCTCAGTGTCTGACATCTTGAGTCCCCTGGAGGAAAGCTACAAGAAAGTGGGCATGGAGGGCGGCGGCCTCGGGGCTCCGCTGGCGGCTTACAGGCAAGGCCAGGCGGCACCGCCGGCCGCGGCCATGCAGCAGCACGCCGTGGGGCACCACGGCGCCGTCACCGCCGCCTACCACATGACGGCGGCGGGGGTGCCCCAGCTCTCGCATTCCGCCGTGGGGGGCTACTGCAACGGCAACCTGGGCAACATGAGCGAACTGCCTCCGTACCAGGACACCATGCGGAACACCGCCTCGGGCCCCGGATGGTACGGCGCCAACCCAGACCCGCGCTTCCCCGCCAGTAAGTGAGGCCGTCCCACTGCGGGGCCGCGGGCTGAGCGCGGGAGGTGCGGGGAGAGCCGCCCGTAAGACGCGGCGCCTGCCGGCTGTGCGCTGGGCATCAGGGTGGGCAGCCTGGCAGCGGCGCCAGGGAGTCGGGTGCGGGAGCTGGGGGTTCTTCCCGGTGCTGGGCTGAGAGGGTCCGAGAAGAAACACTTAGTAGCGCTGGGGTCTTGCGGGCAAGTGCTGGTATTCGGCGTCTCCCAGTTGCGGCCAACTGGCCGCTCTGCTCCGCGCAGGAGATCTCGGAGTGCAGACCGAGGCTCCCCCCTGACTTAGGGGCAAGCAGGGCGCCGAGAGGCGCGGCCTGGCCGGGCGGGAGGCTGGCGTGCTGAGGCCGGCTACTCTCCAGTCTAGGCAGGTGGGAGGGCGCGCGGCTCTACAGGGGGATCTAAATGGACTGAGCAAGAGCCCGCGCTGGGGCTGACAGGGGAGAGCCGCCAAGAGGCAAAGCGTCTGAGGGCGCCAGCTTTTGGAATACCTCCCTCTCCTAAGCTCCCAAAGTTGGGGTCTACCGTCGGACCCCAGATCTTGGCCTGGGCCCAGTTCGCCGCCGGTGGCACGTTAACCCCGCGACTCCGGCCGGAGTTAGACGCGAAAGGAACGGGAGCGGCCTTTCTCCACTGCGGTTTTTGGGTGGAGCGCTGAGGCTGAAGGAGGTAGCTGGGGCTGAGGCGGGAGTTCTCCACTCAACCCCTCGACGGCACGGCCGAGGGCAGGAGCTGGCGATCCCCGCCGCTGGGCCTCTCCCGGCCGAGGCGGCCTAGGTGAGGAGGGCGCTGTCGGGGCCGGGCCTGGCCGGCCAAGGGTGCAGAAGGCCGAGATGGCCTGGCCCGGCCCGGCCCCGGCCGACGCTATGCGTTTGTCGCTTGCAGTCTCCCGCTTCATGGGCCCGGCGAGCGGCATGAACATGAGCGGCATGGGCGGCCTGGGCTCGCTGGGGGACGTGAGCAAGAACATGGCCCCGCTGCCAAGCGCACCGCGCCGGAAGCGCCGGGTGCTCTTCTCCCAGGCGCAGGTGTACGAACTGGAGCGACGCTTCAAGCAACAGAAGTACCTGTCGGCGCCGGAGCGAGAGCACCTGGCCAGCATGATCCACCTGACACCTACGCAGGTCAAGATCTGGTTCCAGAACCACCGCTACAAGATGAAGCGCCAAGCCAAGGACAAGGCGGCACAGCAGCAACTGCAGCAGGACAGCGGCGGTGGCGGCGGGGGCGCCGGGTGCCCACAGCAGCAGCAAGCGCAGCAACAGTCGCCGCGCCGCGTGGCGGTGCCGGTCCTGGTGAAAGACGGCAAACCCTGCCAGGCGGGCGCCCCCGCGACTGGAGCAGCCAGCCTGCAAGGCCACGCGCAACAGCAGGCGCAGCAGCAGGCGCAGGCCGCGCAGGCGGCTGCAGCGGCGATCTCAGTGGGCAGCGGCGGCCCCGGCCTGGGTGCACACCCGGGCCACCAGCCGGGTAGCGCGGGCCAGTCGCCGGACCTGGCACACCACGCCGCCAGTCCCGCGGCGCTGCAGGGCCAGGTCTCCAGCCTGTCCCACCTGAACTCCTCGGGCTCGGACTACGGCACCATGTCCTGCTCCACCTTACTATATGGTCGGACCTGGTGAGAGGGCGCTGGGCCGGGCCTAGCCCAGCGCGCTGCCTCATCGCTTCCCCTTCTGCCCGCCACACACACACCAACCACCTGCCGCTCCATGCGCTTCGACTTTTCTTAAGAACCTGTCCCGTTAAGACCAAGGAACAAAACACAAAGGCCAAACTGCTGGACGTCTTTCTTTCTTTCCTTTTTTTTTCTAAAATTTGTGGGATTTTTTAAAAAAAGAAAATAAAAACAACCAAACGAATCCAATTCTTTAAAGGAGCCTTTAAACAGAGGACGCAACGAGAACAACTTTGGGGGTGTCGTTTAGGTGATTCAAACGAATTTCCCACGCTCGGGTGGGGCACAGTTTGGAGAGAGCTCTATGCTGCCACGGCTCTAGACTCTAAAGATCTCACATTTCACTCTGGGTACGCTGTGCCAGCAAAGTGGACTCGTTTGTAAATACTAGGATTTCTTTCGAAGGGGAGATGGGGTCTGGGAAGAGGAAAGACTCTTCCACGGAACCAACTTGTCACTGACACAAAGAAAAAGCCCCCTTCCCAGGAACCTCCGGCTGCCCAGGCTCAGCCTGACTGCCGTGGCTAAAACTGTTTTATGTTTGATGTGAACTTGTAGCTGTAAACGCTGTCAAAGTTGGACTAAACGCCTAGTTTTTAGTAATCTGTACATTTTGTTGTAAAAAAAAGAAAAAGAAAAAGAAAAAACCCCTAGTCCTGGCCCCCTGCCCATCATATTTTTTATGGGCACTGACAAATCTGTGTATATTATTTGGCAGTTTGGTATTTGCAGCGTCAGTCTTTTTCTGTTGTAACTTATGTAGATATCTGGCTTAAATATAGTTCCTAAGAAGCTTCTAATAAATTATACAAATTAAAAAGATTCCTTTTCTGATTAAAAACCTACCTTTTGTTTGGTTTTGATTTGGCTTTCTTTAAATGGCACTTTTTTCGTTGGGGTGGGGGGCAGCTTATCATTCTCCTGATGGGATTGGAATTGTTTGGGGGCTCAAAGGACCCTGAACCAGCTAAGGAGGCCTGACCCCAGAGTCCTTGCCCCGCGGGAAGAGGGAGTTTTGTTCTGCCTCCGAATTGAGTAGAACCAAACCATGAGCAGTGATGGGACTTGGAAAATAGAGAGGAGATGAGCTAGACAACTTCTACCAGGAGGAAAAGGGAAAAGGGAAGAAAACTAGACCCAAGGACGAATTTTCAGAGCCAGGCTTCTGTTGTTTGAAACCTCAGAGGTATCTACTGTGGTCTTATAAGGCTAAGCTACCGTTTTACAACAGTCCGCCAGGACATCCATTTTAAATAGCCTTGAATGAGCGATTATTTTTACTGAACGGATCTCTCCTGTAGATTTCAACATCAATCTTTTATTTTTAATCCGCGGTCGAGCCTTGTTGGAATTAGAATTCCGTGAGAGGTTATTTTCGAAAGTGGGGGGAAGTCGTTACCGGCTTTCGTTTCTATTCTAAAACGGCTGTGTCCGCACCGGGTTGGCCTCGGATTTCGGTTTCTCACGGCTTCTCTATCCTCGGGAGGTGTCCGACTGGGCTGCGGGCCTGGGGACACCCCTCACCCCCGCAGGACTTCAGGAGCTGGGCTTTCATTCTTTGTTCCATCGGTTTCCATCTCTGGGCTCCTAAATCTTTGTAGTAAGTACTCTTTCTCCAGTTTCCAACTCTCCACCTCTCCCCGACCTCCGACCTCCGCAAAGAAAAAAAAAAACAAACCTCATCTTTGACCTTTCTTCCTACCTCTTCTTTTCTGGTCTCTTTGGTGCCCAGCTGTGGCTGTTGGGGATCTCTTAGAGTTTCCCTGGGGATGGGGAGGAGGAAGCAGTGGTTGTGAACCGAGAGAAATCCCAGTCCCTAGGTGGGCTGCTGTCTTTCTGAGTCACACCCTGATAAACCTAGGAGGAAACTTGGCCAAGTGGGCTGCGGACAGATGCTCCTCCCAGCACCTTTCTCTAGGCCTGAAAGTGTTTGATTGGGGGGCATGGATTGATTCATATTTATCATGTACTCACTTCTCACCTAGAATTTCAACTTTTTCCTTTCTTGCCTCTCCCCATCTTTTCTTCCTCTCTTCATTTCACTCTGTCTCCACCTCTCTCTTCCTGACCTCCACCCTCATCCCCCAAAAATCTGCAAGGGAAGTCGCCTGGCCCAGGGCCTTGTCCTGCACCAGCCATCCTCTTTGTTGACATCCTGGGTGCTTCTCTCCCTGGTGCATTCGGACGAGGGACCAGGGTGGGCTTCCTCCCACGAATTCTGGCTTCTGAGATACAGTTTCCAATATCCAGAAGAGACTTGGAGGTTGAGCCTAGGGAGTGTGCTAGTTAGAGGAACTATCAGCAGGCCTCACATTTTGGAAAACAAGCAAAAATCCGGAAAGTTTGAACACTTGTGTTGGAATGGGCAGTAGTGGTCCCGGGACAGGGTGTGTAGGTAGGTGGTCAAGGCACCCAGCTCAGGCCAGGGAAATGTTTGACTTTAAGGTGCCAATTCCGTGGGGTGGGAGCTTCCGCTCAAAACGCCCGGTGCCCAGCCCAAGCCTGAGCTGGGTCAAGGCGGGCTTTCCGGGACAAATGGCCCAGAGGGCTCCACCCCCCTCCATCCTAGCCCGGAGCAGGTTCCTGAGAGTCACAATTTTCGTGGATTGTGGTACCCTTGGCCTTACAACTTGCAGTGGATGGAATTTCTAGCAAATTCATTCTTCTTCCCGCCGTCTAGAACCAGCTTAGTTTGAAGTCGGTTTAGTTGTTCCAGGGGAAAGGTGGATTCCGCCGGTCTACGGAGGGGACCAAGACAAACAAGGCCTTGGCCGCTTCTCTGCATGCATCACGCGGAGTCCACCACCTCTGGCTCCTGCCCCGGGAGATGGTTGTGGCTGCAGGAAGCGGCTCTGGAACGCAATCCGAAGCGTCTTGATAGGGAAATAGTGGCACACTTGGCGCAGCCTGGGGACATCCCCACCCCCATGTGCTAGTCAGCCTCTGCAGAGCCAATAGTGTCTTCTCCTTGTTGGACCTTTCCTAAGTCTCCAGGATCTCTGGACTGGGTCAGTTCTGGCCTCCCCTGAGGGAGAAATCAGCCCTCTCTGGGGACGCCCCTGGTGCTGACTTGCCGGAAGAGCCGGAAGCTTCCCCACGTGTGGGGGCAGCGTAGTTTTCCCCGAGATCCCGGCGAAGCTGAGCGCCCCCGCCTAAGCACCCCACCCATCCCTAGGCCCAGACCGCTGCGGGGAGTGGGGGATATTTTGCACACACCATCTCCCCCTTCCTCTTTTCCCCCACCCCCCACCCCGCCATGTAAACACGAGGACTTACTCGAGAGCCCTGGAGAGCGGCTCTAGTGGCTTCGGGGCCTGAAACCCCAGGCTTGGCTTGTTTGATGTTTAGCATCCCAAAGCGGCTCCCCATCCCCGCCCCAGCCTGGGAACCTGGAGCTGTGGGTCGCAGAGGCTGGAAAGCAGCCCTCTCAGCTGGCGGGGCCCGGAACTGGGCCGGGTTCGGGGGGAGGGTTCCAGAAGAGCTGGACAGAGATGCTCTGAGCAGGAAGAAGGCAGCCCGGGCTGTGGCCGCCCCCAACAGGGGAACAAACTGGTACAGCTGGAGTCCTCAAGGCCAGAAGGTAGGTGGGGGCAGGGAATGCCTCAGCAGCCGGGGCAGCGGCTCTGGGAGAGAGGCTGGCCTGGTGGGAAGTAGCTTGGGGTCCCCCCCGAGTGAAATCAGAGCCAGGCCGCGGGCGACTCCGCGAGAAACGTTCAGGGTACTTACTACTCCTGGAGGCGGGGGAGGCCCGCGCGCTCCAGTCCAAGGGCCTTGCAGGAGGCAGCTCTTTTTCCCACTGCTAGGGATTGACCTTTCAAAGAGGAAGACTTGTAAGGGACCCTTCCAGGAAATTTTAAATCCTCCTGAGGGCTGGGCTAGGCCTAAGTCTGGCAGCGAAGTCTCCGATTTTGAGACCCCAGAGAGAAGAACCCTCAGACTTTAGAGGCCGCACACTCTTCCAGGGGGCTCCCCGGCGTGTGGGCGTTGGTGAGGGGGCTATCTCCAGGCGGAGTGCACAAAAGGTAGCGCAAGTCTCTTCTCAGGCGACCCGAGATAAGAGGAAACGAGAGCGGGGTTTTCTGACTTCCAGCTCGTTAGGGACCAGGTAAGGTCAATGCTTTCTCTATTATGTCTTTATCTTAAAAGCGGGTCAATTTAAGATAAGGGAAAAAGAAGTCTAGGATCTGTGTGAACTGTACTGATAAAGACTGACCCCTTCCCTGAACTAAAAGCAAGCCAGCCAGGCAGGCATTCATTTTCTATAAACAAGAGAGTCGTGAGAAGCTGCCTTGAATTCTGATCGAACGTGTTTCTCAGTCTCTCTAGACATCGCTCCTCTTTCCCCCCTCAGTTATGGGACCGGGGGAGCAGAGGGAGCAAGAATCTTCTTTCTAGAAAACTAGGAAGCCTGTTGGGAAATGTGAATCTGAGATGATGTGACTCTTAGACACGGTTTGCTGACTTGTTTCAAATGTGACTTTCTTGTAGAATGGAAGCAAAGTGACAGAGATGAGCATTCAGAGGGATGAGGTTAAATGTTTTCCTTGTTCAGCCAGGTCCCTATTAAGAGAGAAGGGACACCACCTTCCTCTGGCCCTCCCTGCCTTTGTGGCTGGTGTGTGCGTGTGTGGGTTGTGCAGTAGTATTCTTGCAGCTTCAGGCCACCTTCTGTGGCGCCCAATTTGGGCTCCTGCCTCAACTTGGAAAGAAAGTTTCCTGGTGCCTCTTTGGCCAGTAGCTTCTGGAAGGAGTGTCCTATTACCCCAGTCACCCTGTGTGGTGAACTTGTCCACCCAAGTGGCAGGAAGAATTGGGTATGGAGTTAAGGAAAGACTGTGTTTTATTGAAGTAGAGGGCCAAGGTCTGCATGCTTGTTGTGTTTCTGTGTAGTTGTGTTTCTGAACTTCTGGTGACTCTCAAAGGAACGGAGGAGGAACAGGCTCAGCAACCTGACAGCACTTCTTCTGCCTCATCCAAAGCCATAGCTGAAGTGGCTGGTGGCATTTCCCTCTGACAGTGACCTAATGCCCTTCTTGGAGGGCATCTAGGAATGGCCCCAGGCTCCTCATCTGATGATGTTTCTCATTTGGTCTCTGCTTTGTAAACATGTATTGTCTCTGTTATTACGAATTGTAATAAGTTTTGGAAAGGGTGAGGTTCAGATCCATTTTTCTGTTTTCTTTTCAGTTCGTAGGACACTACAATATACTCAATCACTATTAGTGCTCTGCTTGAAATGGAAATAAACATTTAAAAAATTGCAGGCAATAGGCTGTTAAAAGAGGGCTGTTTCCTCCAATACAATTGTGACATCTCATTCTGCCCACTCTGTACGTAGGAATAAGTGGTTGCATACAGACACCTGTCTGTGTATGTATTATAGAAGTACATATTCACATGTATCTATCTTATATGTCTATTTTATAATATATTTAAAAATGAAATTTTTAATATAGGATTCTGTAAGTAGGAGATCTTAAAGAACCTGCTAGATGCAAGAAAGTTGAATGCATTCATTACCTCAATTAAGAAGTCCCATGAAACTGAGTTTCTCTTGAAACATCAAGTACACAAAAACTTTCCTTAGTTTTTCAACTTCAAATTGGAATATTAATTTATCTTCAAGTGAAACTAGAGAACTAATTATGTTTGGGGGGAAATGTTAAAGTTTATTCTTGGAGAAAATGAATTTGTTCCCTGGGACATATAGCTGTAGATGAGACTTCTCAAAACAATCTATAACAAAAATTCTTGTGATTTGCCGCACCTACATTATTCATGAATAGAAATCGTTAGTATGAATCATTTGTTACTATTGCCAGTTAACAAAAACAGGTGGAA